TACATACATACAACAGGGTTCATAGCACTCAAAGAAAATCAGGGAAATGTTTTGGAAATTTAGAAAATCGTGAATACCTGGAAAAGTCACTTTTTCTGAAATTTCTCAAAACTCAAGGAATATTTTAAAAATAACTTCAAGCTTAAAACTAGTTTTAAATTTAGCATGAATTTATTTTGCAATATACAAGTTTTGAATCTTTATCAATATTGGAATTAAGTTTTTTTTCACCCATTTAGCATATTACATTTTGGCATTTGAAGGACATTAAAGCAAAATATTTAGAAGTGCAAAAGTATTTTTTTAATTGTTCAGACTGCTTTTCATTTTACTTTATCCTCATTTGGCATCAATGTCTGACATCCTTTTAAGTTTGGTTTTTTGCAAATGTAATGGATCATAAAAAAAAAACTTATTTAGTTTAAATATAATTAACACAAATGCTTGAAAATTAAGTTTTTGATTTGTTTTAAATATGAAATGGGATTTAGTTGATTACTAGTTTATTATTGGTTGTTTACTTATTAAATCAGGAGTTAAGGACTTGAGACTTGACAGAGACTCTGGTTGTGAAAGTATTATATCCTTCAATATTATCAATGAAAATCATATATTTTTCACCACCTAAACTCAAGGAATAAATACTTGAAGCCAAAGAAATTCAGGGAATAAATACTTCTAAACAGGAGAAAATCAGAGAATACTCAGAGAAAAGTAGATAGTGCAAGTGTTATGAAGAAACTTGAAAAGTTTCTAAAAATTAAATAACAGTTATAATTTATCCACTCACTACAACTGACAGTTATATAAGTAATTTATAGAAAAGACGTCATTTACCTGGAAGTTGACAAAAATTTAAATAGCAAGATTTTTCAAATTTTGACAACAACTTTGCCATACCCAAAAGGCTGTCTACAAGAGTAGAAAGTATAAATACTAAAAATCAATTTTAATTACTTTGTAATTTTAAATATTTCTGTTCATTATAGAACTATTTATTTTATACAGGTTGTATTATTTTTTATACTGGTTTTATACATATAAAAAAGTTAGTTTTTCTTGGTATGCATTTATTCTTTTGTTTTAATCAAAAAAATTAAGCCCAAAGATTTTTTTTACCGTTCTCTTATGAACATATATCTTGGAGGTTTCGGATCCCTTTAAATAAAGTGAAAGGTTTTTTTGTAAAAACAATGTAGATAAGGTCTTTACGATCTGTCTCTTTAGATTCTAATGAGTCAATTACAGAGAAACAAAGACATTGAATTCCTGTGTTGTAAAATTAGATGCAACTAAGCAGAATTTATCTGCGAATGTAAGATTATGAATAGTGGGTTATCTTTAAATTTAAATGATGACTTAAGCATTGTTTTTTCTGTTTACTAAGTTTAAACAAGGTTACCCAATCTTCTGAAACAGATAGTTATATCTGTTTCAGAAGTTCGGATACTGGGATGTAATTAATAACTATGTGAGTGTTCATTGTTTTAAATCAATTTGCTTGGAATATACAGCACATCAAGACCTATTGACTTGTTTCAGTAATTTTGTTTAGTTGGAGTTACCAAAGCTATATCAAATATCAGCGGACAGTCCCATTGTCAATTTTATGTTTTTTGATGAATCAAACTGCTTTATATTTTCATAATTAATGTCACAGAATAGCTCAATTTGGTATTTTTAATAAGTAACATAAATAATATAATTAAAATAATTTAATATGTTGAAATTTTAATTTTCTTTTTGTAATGCTTGCTGAAATCTAAACAGTCTAAGTTTAACAGCAATAAGACATTAAAATGTGCATGTCGAGGCCATTTAATGCTAGGCAACTTAGATTTCTTTACTTACATTGCTATATTATATTATGTACTTGAACCTTTTCTGAATAAATACCAGATAGAGTAATCTATTTTCTAAAAAAAATCTGTTTATATTCTTGAAATGTTCTATTGGTTCTCAAAAGCAACTTTTTTAAATTTTTACAAAGTTTATTGGATTTAGGGGGAGCACAAGACCCTTAAACACTTACCGGGTTTTAAATATTATAAAAAAAAGATTTTCAAAAGTATTTCATGTTGGGTCTCGAAAGAAGCAAAATTTCAATGATAATTGTTTTATTAAAAAATTACTATTTTAGAGTTTATTGCAGAAAAGTTACATTTTTTAACTAAAAATAAAAAAGTGTATTTTTTTTGATAATAATTCCAAAAAAAATCTTAAATAATAATTTTTTTATAAAATGATAGTTGTTTTTAAAATTTTTATGTAATTTTGGTAAATTTGAGAAACAGTATAACGTTTTTTGTTAAACCTTATTTTTTTTAAATATTAGGGACCCAGTAATTGTTCAAGGGTCTTATGTTCCCCTTAAATCCAGTTTTTAAAAAATTAACAAAGTTGCTTGTGAGAACTAATAGAACGTTTTAAGAATATGAACAGTTCTTTTTTAGAACCTAGGGGGCAGATGGGACACCCTACCCACCATATTGTGTTGTTATTTATACTTAATATTATGCAGATTAAAATAAATTTTTGTTCATTCAACATTTGGCTTCAGCATATGTTTAAATAATTCAAACAATAGTCAATTGGTGACAGGTAAAAGCATTTAATTTTACCTTTTAAATCTCAAAATTTTAAAAGATAGCATAGATATGGCAATAAGTTCATTTAACTCATTATGTGCTCAAGTAACATTTGATCAACCAATTTATTTTTATCGACTCAATTAAGGCAATAGATTCAAAAACACTGGATGATTCAAAAACACTGGATGCTTTTATCAATGAATAATTCAATGAAGATTTAATAAAAAAAATTTTTTTCACCATAAATACAACAAATTTTCTGACCATCTTGAAAAACACTTTGTTTTGAGACAAAATTATCAAGTTTTACTTTTTAAGGTGATCTAGTTTCTAAGCAACAGCAAATCCAGCAGTAAATTTTGTCATCAGACAACAGATTATTGGTCAAGGGCAACTTCAAGCAACTTAATTATTATTTCCCAAAGACCAAAGTAGAAAAACAGAACCATAAAATAGTCTATCTATAGTGTTGGGATACCCTAACAGTGGGCATATATTTTTTGTTGCAGAAATAATTTAGTTAAAACATAAGTAAAGCCATACTATAATATAATTTTACATATTTTTATGATGTTGTTTCTAAATACTAAGCTTTTAGGACTTTTTTGTACCTTTTTTTTTAAATGCATATTTTAGCTTTAGAGTAACATTGACAGTTGCACACTAACAACACAAGATTAACAATCTATTACATTAACATCTATTAATATTACATAACTAATTAATTTTTATATCAGTTATTGGCAGCAGTATCATTATGTTAGCAATAGCAGTTATGGCAGCAATATCATTAGCAATATCACGTAAAAATATTTGAGCTAAAAATTTTGGCACAACAAGAGAAAAAAAAAACTTTCTAAAGTTATGTCAATTTAATACCACTTTACCTTAAGCCTTCTGCTAACTTTAGATTGGTGCTAATATATAATAAAAATGTTTTCTCTATTTTGTTTTTCAAAATTCCAGTTATAATATTATCCCTTATGATGTAACTTTAACGTTTACAATTTAAAACATACTACTATCAATGTTACACCATATAGGGTGTAACATTGACAGTTAAACCCCATCAACAAAATTAATTATCTATCAATAATATTAGATAACTAATTAAATTCTTCATCAGTTTATGGCAGCAACCCTCGGAATTAGGAAAAATAAGGTCGGCAATAATTTGCTGACCTCAATGTTTTTGAGGTTGGCAAAAATTATTTGACACAAAGGTCTGACCATAAAACATAGAAACGAGGTCGGCAATTTTTTGCCGACCTCAAACACTTTCATGTTGGCAGTTAGGCATTGCCAACCCTAATTCCGAGGGTTGTAGCAGTAATATCATTGGTAAACACATAAAAATTTTGCATATCAAAATTAGTTTGTCACAGCTAAAATAATTTTTTTTTTTTAAATGTATCAATGTTACCCCACTTCATGTTTACCCTGCTATATTTACCCCACAATGTTACCCCACCTTATTTGTGCTTCAGTCATTGTTATGAGAGTTTCATTAAGTTTAATTTGTTTTATTTTGATATTTGTTTTCTATAAAAAATGTGTTCTTGCTTTTGTTGTTTTTATTTCAGAAAATATAATAATGATGTTGAGTATGGTATTCATAGCATTAATACTTTATTAATTAACAGTTTTTTATGGACTATGTTGTAATATATAGATATATAGTATATAACATGTATATATAAAAATAGATCTTACACAATTTATTTTATTTAAATTTAGTGTTTGATTATTTCTTAAAAGTTAGTTCTTTGCCAGATTTGCTATGGGTGTACTTTTGTTTTTCATTTTGTAATTTTCTTGAGACAAGTTTTTCAATCCTCAAATCCTGGAATTGAGAATGTTTGAGTTTTCTCCCATAAAGCTCAACATAAAGAAATCTAATCCTATGGTAGCTCAACATAAAGAAATCTAATCGTAAAAAAACTTTTTGTTATTTAAAATTTTTTTTGCCATTCAACATAATTTGCAAATTGCAAGAAAGATTATCTATCGTCATAAGTATATAATTTTATATACCTGTGATAGCAAATTTAGGTACAATACTAGTATTCTGTTCAATTTATAGTTTTTTGTCAGTTCTGTTTTTATTAATATTGAGCAGTCTTTTTGTGGATTCAATAACTTTGTTAACATCAAATGTATGATTTAATATATTATGAAAATGATTAACAACCATATCAGAAATAATATACTTTTAACATATAATTATAACATAACTGCAAAAAATATAGAGTAAAAATATACTTATTTTTAGCTATATTTGCATAAATTATACTTATTTTTAGCTATGTTTGCATAAAGACATTAAAGTTTTATAGTTTTTTTTTCTTCTAATTTTAAGATTAATACAAAAAGCATAAATGTTTTAAAGGTTTTTTTTTTTTTTTTAAGATTGAAATAATAAAATACTATGGTTATCCAAGTGAAACCCACCAAGTAAAAACTGAAGATGGATATATTTTAACACTTCATCGTATTCCTCATGGTTTATTAAAATCAAGCAATGGGCAAGCAGTATTTTTGCAACACGGAATTCTTGATTCTTCCGCTACTTACTTAATGAATCCACCACATCAAAGTCTTGGATTTATTTTGGCAGATGCAGGGTTAGTAATTACTTTTTTAATGAAAAATTAGTTTTAAACTATTTTTTAATGATAAATCTTTAGCATGGATAATTTTTTAGTTTTAGTATTACATCCTTACTTATATCTTTAGCTATAATATGTATAAGTTTTTAATTATTATAAGTTTTTTTGAATGTTGAAAATTTGTTAGGTTATATTAGTAATTTTTTTGCTTCTTAGATACGATGTTTGGCTTGGAAACAGCAGAGGAAATACTTACTCATCAGAGCATATCAAGTTTACAACTAAAGACAAAGAATTTTGGGATTTTAGGTAAGACAAAGAGTTTTGGGACTAAGGCTAAGTCAAGGAGTTTTGTTAAAGAGAAAAGTTAATAATAGTGTTTCAATTTGTTATTCATTATTTTACTTTTAGCAAATTCATTTTCTCGTGAAAATGAATTTGCTGAATAAACCTTTAAAAATGTATCATTTAAGCGTTTTTTGTAATTGAAAAATGAAAATAACGTATTTATTTATTTTTGATTTAAGCATTGTAGCATTGCTATTTATTCTGATTTTATAAATAACTTTAATGGAAAAAAAAAAAGAATAACAGAATACAGAACTTGGAAAATACATTAGAATGTCAGCTACACACAAATGAGTTCCATTAAAACATTTGCTTAAACAAGTTTATGGTCTAACATCTGCCAGAAGTTTGTGTACAAGATCAATTGATGAAGTCATTCGGATATGAAAAAAATTGATAATTGTAAAATTTCAACTTTTACTATAGATAGAACCTGTTTACTTCAAACCTGTTTACTTCAAACCTGTTTACTTCTTACCTGTCATCAAAAGAAGCACTTCTCAATCTTATTGAAGATCAGCAGTTTATTTACCAAATTAGTTTGCCATAAGATTGATACCTAAAAACCTAGATGTCACAAATTTAAAGTTACTAACTCAATTCTTCGTTCTTCACTACGAACCAATTTGGCTTGCTATTAAGTTTGAAGCTCTCTTCTTTAATGGACTTTTATTTGTAGATATTTAATGAAAATTGTTTAAAGTATTTTAAATATTTAGTTATTATATTTTATTAATTTTAATTTTAGTAGTTATTAAATGTTTAAAATACTTCAAATAGTTTTAAATCAATATTTACAAGTAGCATAGTATTTGTAAGTTATTATAGTCTACATATAAATGCTTCTTGTAGTCAAGTTGTTATTTTCCACATATAAACACTTCTTAAAGTCAAGTTGTTGTTGTCTACATATAAACACTTCTTGTAGTCAAATTTTTATTGTCTACATATAAACACTTCTTGTAGTCAAATTGTTATTGCCTACATATAGTATAATATATTATATAGACACCGTTTAATAAGTATATTTACAATTATTTTAATTTTGATGTAAGTATTGGCAATTCTGTTTGTTTAAATTTTACTAAAGGTTAATAATTTTCCCAGTGCTTTTAAATAAAAGAGATGATTACAATAAACTTAATGATTAAAAAAATATATTATTAAAAAAATATGTGCATTATATAAGTTAAATTTACTAAGGTTTTTTTTTTTTAAATTAAAGACATTAAAGCTGAAAAATAACTGAAACAAAACTTTATTGTAATCATTATTTTTATTATTATTAAAGCCAAAAAGAATGTTTTAAAATTAAATAAAAGATAATTTTTATTGCTTACATTATCTATATATATGTATATTGAGTTTTAATTCTATTAAGTGATAAATGTTTGGTTGAAAAATGTCCTTTTTATATCTGACCTTTTTTTTTGTTTATTTGCCATATTCAGTTATACCAAAAACCAGTTTTGTATAACAAATTAATTTTTTTTCGTTAACTTATTGTATCAACTTTTTTTGGTAAATAAGGATTATATAGTTTAACAATTTAATTTTTTCAGTTACTTTAAATGATCACCTGTCATCAAAACAAATAAATGGTGCAGATATTCCAATTTCAAAGATTTGTTAAAATTTTAAAAAAATTTTTAAATGCAATATAAAGTTGCATTAAAAAATACAAGAAGTTAAAGAATAACTGCAAGTTATGAAAAAGAAAAAAAAAGTTCAGAAAAAGAACACAACATAAGGTCATCAATTCAACATTTGTTGAATTGATGACCTTAATTTTTAAAAGTTGCAAGAGTTACATAGTTTTTGATCTTTTTTCGTAAAAATTTGTTTTTGTTATTATTTTTCAATTAAAATAATATGATCACATTAAAGATTTCTATTGAATTATTATCTTGTTAATTATTGTTTATACTGTAATATTTACACTTTATTATTCAATAAACAGTAAATAATGCTTCAAAACAAATAAACGTTTAAAGTTATTAAATAATTGTCTATTTGTTAGGGATGTGAAGTCCAAAAAAAATCTTTTTAAAAATGTTTTTAAAGGCACCGAATCCTTAGTCTCTGGCTACCATTTTACATTATACCTGTGTTTTAAATGTCCTGGACTGGAGTCTGAAAGTTTTTGAAGCTGCAATATAATAAAGACCAAAAATACTTGTTTTTAACTTTTAAAATAGAAATCTTTTTTAGGACTTTACATTCTTGATTTTAATCAAATAAATGATTAAAGTTGCATAAAAATAGTTCAATTTAAAAAATACAATATAAAATTAGATAAATATAATACTTTAATTTCAAATATTTAAAAATATTTTTAATTCGATAGTTTTGATGAAATGGCCAAGTATGACCTTCCTGCATCAATAGATTATGTATTGGAGACCAGTAATAAATCAGATTTGTATTATGTTGGACATTCTCAAGGTTTTAATTTTTATTTAATTTACGACTGATATTGTTAGTTTGTAATTGTTTTTATAACATTTTTAAATTACTAATCAAAACAAAGTTCATACTTCATCACTGAACCTACTACAGATTTATTAGCTTAATACAGTTTTAGTATTTTGTGTGTGTTTTTAATGATGGATATTCAAATGAAAAACGGTAATTTACTTTTAGTTTTAATTATTATTTTCTATTTGCCTTGTGTTATTTTTATACATTGCAATTTTTCATTTTAATATATGTGCATACATGCACATATATTAAAATGAACAATTAAAATGACAGAGACATTGCATGGTTTAGAAACTTTAATTGAATTCAATTCTAATTTAACTTACCAAATAACCAGATAATTAACCACAAAGAAATGGTAAAAAAGAAGGAGAACTTGGAAAATCAATTATATTTAACCAATAATAAATCAAAAGTGAAAAAAAATAATGTGTGCCTCTAATAGTTATTGGTTATAACAATAATAAAAAATTAATATAAGACGCAGGGAAACACTAAATACTCTAGTCACTCTGTGTGTAGATCATATGCAACAAAGAACAAATTTGGGATTTACTGCTATTAGAGACTGTTAATGTCTACAGTAATGTTTGCAATCCCGAAATCCCGGGATACCGCCTAATTTTATAACCCCGAATTCCCGGGATTATTTTTAAAATATCCCAGGATTTAGAAGTTATAAAACTACGATTAATACCTGCGTTTACCAATTAATTGTTTGGAGATTTAGGTATGTTGACAAATCGCCTCATAAATAACACAATATAAATAATTACAAACAAATTTTTAATTTTATTCTCATTATTGTTGTTCTTATTATTTATATTATTATTGTAATTTAGTTTTAATAACCAGGATTATTTTTAAAATATCCCAGGATTTAGAAGTTATAAAACTACGATTAATACCTGCGTTTACCAATTAATACCTGTGTTTAAATTGCGTCAAATAAAACAAAAGTAACAACAAAGCTATAAAATTTAGTACCAATACTATAAAAGCTATAAAATTTAATACCAATATTTTCATTATTGATTTATAAGTTTAAAGTAAGTTTAATTTTAATATATTGTGGCTTTTGTATATTCTTTATATATTGTAATAAACTCGCGCGTTTATTTGGAAATAGTAAGAAACTAATTTTAATTATTAAAACTAAATTACAATAATAATATAAATAATAAGAACAACAATAATGAGAATAAAATTAAAAATTTGTTTGTAATTATTTATATTGTGTTATTTATGAGGCGATTTGTCAACATACCTAAATCTCCAAACAATGTTAAAAAAAATGGTACTAGATTTCTCTAACAAAATAAAGAATGTTATAAGAAATGAATTATAACAAAAAATTAACAGTAGAACTAGGTGGTCCTCAACTTCTTTTGATGAGTGGACGTCGATTTAAAATACCCGATATTTGAATAAGAATTTATACGATAATGACAATTTTTGGAATTTAGGTTTAGTTAGGATCGTAGGGACAATGCCAGCTGAAAAGTGTGTAGTTTTACATAAAGAAAAACTCTCAGCGTAAGGTTTAGTATTGTATGAATGACAGACAGAGCAAAATGAAAAAATTGAAAAACTATATTAATTACAGATTAATCAACAGCTATGATTTACTCACGGTATTTAACTGGTCATTCTTTCAGTTTTATATAATACATCAGCATCAAATTGCACGCAGAAATATTTAGTCGAGAAAAAATGATGATGGTGATGAGAGTTGCTTTATAGTTGATAATCAAATAATTGAAGACGTAATAATTACAAACAAATCAATTAGCCTAGTGATTAATAAAGTTAGAAAAATCGTGATGGTTTTTAAAAGATCACCAAATAAAAATAATGAATCTCTTCAAAAATATGTAAAAAATTGCTTTCAAAAAAACCTTAATTTAATCAAAGATTGAAAAACAAGATGGAACAGCTTACTATCAATGCTTGAAAGTTTTTCTAAGTTAAAAAATTGCATAAAAAAGGGGTTGTCGATATCAGTATTAATGGTTCTATAAAAATGTTATCTATAAAAATGATAAGGATTATGAAATTGTTTCTGAAGTAGTAAACATGCTAATTTCAATAAAAGCGCTTTGTCGATGCGATGCAAACTGGTGATATTGCGTTAGAGTTTATGCTAACTAAGTTAAAAAAACTGAATACTGCAACAAGTTGTCAACTTTTTAATGCATTAGCCTCCAGAATCAAAGAGAAAAGGACTGAATTAAGTAGTCTACTGCACTATCTACATTATGGGGAAAAAAATTAATGTCCATGGGGAAGTTTTTAAAACATCTTCAAATTTTAAAATTAAAAAAATAATGTTGAAGCTTCTAAATAAATTCAATGTAACAAATTTAAACCACCCTACAAATTCCTTGAATACAGTTGAGGATTTAGTAAGTCAAGAAGATGATGAAATACTGAAAAGCGCAGATAATGAAATGCTGAAAATTATTAGTGAGCAGCTAAATGAAGCCCTCTAAAAAGTTTTTCTAGCAACTTCCAGAAATTCTTTGTTATGATTAGGCAAAACTCTTACTTCTAATTTATCAAAAGAAATATCATTGTTTGAAATTGGTTGTACTCGGGGTGAAAGTGGTTGTTCTCATGGTGAAAGTGGTTGTGCTTGTGGTGAAATTAGTTGTACTTGTGGTGAAAGTGGTTGTACTTGTAGTGAAACTGGTTACATTCGGGGTGAAAGTGGATGTACTCGTGGTGAAAGTGGATGTACTCGTGGTGAAAGTGGTTGTACTCGGGGTGAAAATGGTTGTACTCGGGGTGATGGTCTTCAGAAAGTTTATGATTTTTTAGTGACGAGTAAACCAATGAGCATAGACTAAGAAATTCAGAAGGGTAATTCCACATCAAATCACCCAGTCCATTGAACCATGTGTCTTCTTTTTGTTTTATATTTTGACACATTATTCCTAATTATAAAAAAAAATTGCATGCAAAATTTCAGCCAAAAATGTTGAGCGGTTGACAAGATACTGCGATTTTAATATTGACCTGGTTTCCCAAAATGACCCGGTTTACATAACATTCTAAAAAAATATTTTTCTTAAAAAAATAAGAAATAAAAATGGCAAAAATATAAAAATAAACATATATAATATTTTTTTGATGCTGAATTCAATAAATGTACTTAAAATGCTGAAATATAAAAGAAACAAGCTTAAAAGTTAATAAAACAACTAGTTTCTATAAACCAACTTTGGGGCCCAATATCTCAAAACACCCCCGTCAAATTTTTTTTTTTTTTGCTGTTAATATATTCAGCTGCTTATAATCTTACTAGGCACAAAATATCTAACTGGAAAAACAACTGAAACATATAAAACTTTAATATCTAAGATGTATTACTTTTTCAAGAAATTCCCAAAAAATGTTTGTAAATAAAATAAAAATAAGTTAATCGTAATTTAAAAATGTATTTAAATATACAAGATTTTTCAAGATGCAAGTTATTTTGACTGTGTTTGTAATATTTATTTTAGCATTTTCAAACACATAGTTTCTACCGGAACTAGAGCGAGCTTGTGGAACAGATAGTTTTTTCAATATGTTGGTGTAAGGAATAAAACAGTAGTCCTCTCTTTCAGGCCAGTTAAAACAGATTGATGGACCTTTTGGGTGAAGAAACTTAACTTTAACATTAACTTCTTCTAGGTTAGTTTCAGTTTCAATGCCGATCCACCACTTATCATCATAGACTACAGCTACATAACCTCCTAAAGTGAGAGTATCAAGTTGAAATATATCTTGTTTCTTTTTAAGGTTGTGAATTATTGTATAATTAGTGGCTGCACTACACCTCTTTGCCCCAACCCTGTTGGGGCAAAGAGGTGTAGTTTCATCAATTTATACATCTCCAAGATGTATAAATTGATGAAAGCTACGAGTACCAGGTAGAGTTGTTACACCAGTATACCTTTCTTTTTGCTCCTCACGTTGCAATTGTAAGTCTATCCCCTTTATGTAAATGAAGTTAACAACCTTGATTTTCTCAATACAAAATTCATACATAGCTTCAGATGTGAGAATTTAATTTCTGTATGGTCGTTTTATACTTTCTTGTGCTGTTAACCTTTTTACAGTGCCGCCAATCCCATCGCATGGTGACTTTCTGTGTGACGTGGCAAAAAAATTCCATTCAACTTTAAGGGAAAATTCGCTCTCTAGTTGGCATAGATTGTAAAAGCTTTTACAATTTTTGTACTGTCCTGCGCAACCATCAGTAAATAGATGTAATTTGGACAGATTGGAAAATTTTGTTTTTAATATTGGTATGATTAGTTGAAATATTTTGTACACATAAGTTACATCATGTTTAATGTCGTCTGATATAAAACAACAAGAAATGTGTTTCAGTACACCTTTATCATCATTATAGTATATCACTAATGGATGTAAAGAACATTGTTGGGTGTTCCAATGATAGCTTTGTATTTCATCTTGAACTACAAAAGTATAATTTTCAGCAAAGTCGCCAATAATGATAATGTTTGATTGATCCATATTTTGTTTTAGTTGGTTAAGGTACTGTGATTTAGAGTGAGCAATAAAAGAATGAGCTTGTAGCTTTTCAAAGCAAGATACTAATAGTTCAACAAATGTTGAAACATCTGCTGTTAAACTCAATAGTGTTGCACGATCAGTAGTTTGCCATTGCTTGTAGTGTATCTCAAAATCATCTTCGTATTCTCCGAAAATCTCATACATATATTTGGTGAGGGTTTCTTTACCAGGACAATTATCACACTGTGCAAGCATGCATTCTTTGTTTTCTACTGAGCAAACGGTTTTCGAAAGTAAATCCTTATACTTTAGTTAAATATTTAAGGCATCTACTAGCAATATGGCATTTTGATGATAACAACAAACACAAACAGAATGTGTACCATTTGCACCTGGCAAAATGCACCACTTTGGTCTAAATGAAGCGAATTTTGAGT